CTGTATGTCTTGGATATCAGACCCTTATCAAATATTTGAAACAAAGTTTTTTTTTATAATTGACTTCTTCCCTTCTGAAGCTATTCATATTAATCTTGTTAATGAAAAAGACTTTCAGTTTTATGTAATCTAAATTGTTTATTTACCTTTTGCAATTACCTTTATCCCTTGTCTGGTTAAGAATTAATCCCTTACCCATAGCTGTGAAAGGTACCTGATCTGTTCCTCTTCTAGTTTTTTATAGTATCCATTTTGAGTTTATTGTGGCATATGGTGTTAGTTGTTAGTCTAAACTTAATTTCTGCCAAGACTGTTGTACAGTTTTCCAAATATTTTTGGAAATTTTTTTTGTCATAAATATTATAGAGGAATTTCTTTCCTAGGTAATTTGTGTATGAGGATTTATTTTATACTAGCTTATCAAGGTTATTGTTTGTTTAGAAAATCCTAGGGAATTTTTTGGGAATCCTAGAGAATTTCTACAGAAAAGTATCAGGATACAAAATTTGTCCACAAAAATCAGTAGAATTTCTATATAACAGTAACAAAGTTGAGAAGGGAAGATAGAATTATAATGACCATGCTTGGCCCCAAAGAACTATGAGAAAATACTTCTCTGTCTTTGAACAAGTGGGAGACTATAGATGGAATATAGCATATGTCAGACTTTTAAAAAAATGTTGGTTAGTTTCTCAGACCTTTTTTACCTTACTATTCCCACCGTGGGCCTTTTAAAAATTATTACAAGAGATGGCTCTCTGGGCAAGGATTAGATGACAAATATAATGGAAAATGTTGGTGATATAAAGAAAAGTGTATTTAATAAAACAATTAACTGCAAAATGCATAAAATATCAGGAAGTTGATTTACCAAGGCACATTCTCTCTCTCTCTCTCTCTCTCTCTCTCTCTCTCTCTCTCTCTCTCTATATATATATATATACACACACACACACACACACAATGCTCCCCAAAGAAATAAGTAACATCTTAGATAACTAGAGTGATATTCAGTGCTCATGGCTGGGTATATGTAACATAATATAACAATATAATAAAAATGATAATCTAACTTAAATTCATTTACAGATTTATTATCCCTGGGGGAGGGGTACTTTACAGAGTTCAACAGAATAATAATAAAGTTCATTTGGAAGAACAAAAGATCTGGCATATCAAAGGAAATTTTATTTTAAAAGTAGTAATGAAGAAGGACTAACACTTATAGCCCTCAAGCATCAGTCATTAAAATCATTTGCTATTAGTTTTCAAAAGGGGAAAGTAGATAAATGGAACAGACTAGACTAGAAAGAATTAGAAATTATTGGACACATTTACATTCTTACATAGCTAGTTATAAAAGCTAAAATGAAACAATGAGGATACCTTTTGATTATTGCTCATATTTATGTAATGTGTTCAGATTGGCAAAATACTTTACATATATTATTTCATTTATTTTTCCCAATAACCACATGAGGTAGGTGTAATTATTCCTAGAGCAGCAAATTGAGGCTTGGGGCAGGGGGGGGGGGTGTCAAGCAACTGACTTAAAGTCACAAAGGTAGTAAGAGTCTGAGAGGAGATTCAAACCCAAGTCTTTCCAAATCTGAGGCCAACATTCCTTGTGAGACCTTGTGCTGCACATGGTGGCTCTACAGATGTGGTGGCTGTGATGGGTTCTTAGACACAGCCTAACAGAAGTACGTGATTTTCTAAACACATTTAATTGATAAAAGCAAAAGCAACTCAGAGTATTATCTGTGAAAACCTCTGTAATTATGCCCCTATAAACAGGACTGCCTGGATAGCTGTAACATTTGTTATTTGATGACATCGCAGGGCCTTTTTTTTTTTTTTACAGGAGTCAGGCATGTAGAGGGGCTGGTCAGCACAGTTCTTTTACATGTTGGGCATTAGCTATTGGGAGAATTTTTATATTCATTGAGAATTAAAGAGATGACGAGGGACTGAAAATGCGTTGCCATTGTAATGGAGAAAGAAGGGAGATGCTAGGAAGTACAAGACCAATAAACTTGACAGCTGTCCCAAAGGTTTAGAATATATGGTTTGTGATCATTTGAAATTGAAAGAACATTAGCCACTAGGAACCAGTATGTTCCACTAAAAACAAACGATGCTGATCATTTCCTTATACTGGAGGAATTCTCTGATTATTTTTTTTTCCTTATGGCACAGGTAGGAGAGTGGAGAGACTCATGCATGCATGTGACATTGCAAGTGTGAGTTTCAAAGGGTTTATGGTGTGTCCTTTGGGAGCCACCACTAGAATGCCAGGTCAAGGAGATTCTGTAGATGTGTAGTGTATCTGAATTTCAATCAGTCATTTGGTGCCATCTCCTGATAGTGTTTATGAATGAAATGGAGAGAAATAGAGAGTGAATAACTGGATTAAAGAGTCTTTGAATGGCTGGACCCAAAGAATGTTATTTAGCAGTACTGAGGAAGTTCAATAGTTCCTGCTGTGTTCTGCCTCAAACAGATCAGCTAAGGAATATTCTTAGTATAGTCTCCATATTACTTTGAACTAGGGAAAATGGATAAAATGCTGGACCCATATTCAAGAAGACCTAAGTTTAAATATGGCTTTAAATAATTAGTAGATGTGTCAACCTGGGCAAGTCACTTAACCTCTGTCTGCCTCAGTTTCCTCATCTTTAAAATGGAGAGAATAATAGCACCTACTTCCCATGGTGGTTGTGAGAGGCAAATAACATGATGTTTATAAAGCATTTTGCAAACATTAAAATGCCATAAAAATACTAAATTTTTATTATTATTGTTGTTGTTATGTATTGCATTTGCTGTCACTGGACTGTTTGAGGAGCAAAGATGTCTGTCAACATGGTATATTAGAGTGCTGGACTTAGAATTAGAAAGACCTGGATTCAAATCCCACCTCAGATACTAGTTCTGTGACTCTGGGCACATCACTTAATGTCTTCTCTGAGTCTGTCGTTCTTCACCTGTGAGATTAGAGGAGTAACAGTCCCCGTCATACTGACTCCACTGGATCCTTGTGAGAATCAAAAAGCCAATCCATGTGAAATCCTTTGCAAACCTTGCTGAGCAATAGAAATGTCAGCTCTTGATGGTGATGTTATCATTCTGCTTCTCACATAATAAAAGTAAATGAATCTGGAACTCTTGAAGTTCTTGGCTCTGAATCCAATCCTTGACTTGTGGGAGTTCACCTTGGCTAATCCAAGGGCATAGCCATGTGACCTTGAGCAAGAGGAATTTTCATCTCACTTCACCTAGCTCCTCATTTATAGTATGGGGATAGTGGAAAGGACCCACTTTGTGGAGCTGAGGACTGAGGAAGTCATCTGTGAAAAGTGCTTAGCTAGCCTTAAAGCATCGGATAAATATCAGCAGCTGCTGTGATTATTTTTCAGTTTAATAAGCATTTATTAAGCACCTACGATGTGTTCTGTGCTGGGCACTGAGAATACAAAGACAAAATTATAGAGCCCCTGCCTTCTTAAGGGGCTTTGATTCTGTGGTGGATGTAATATGTACACATACACATACATTATATATGCAAAGTGATACAAGGTAATTTCCAGAGGGTAGAAGTATTAGTAGCTAGAGATAAGGAAGGTGAACATGAGGTCCTCCTCATGTAGCAGTGGGCTCTTTATTGAGATTTAAGGGAAGCTAGAGGTTTTTAGATATGGAGGTCAGAGGAAGGGAGTACACGTTGTAGGCTTGAGAGATAATTTGTGAAAAGGCATAAAAGATGAAATGTATTATGTGAAAAATAGGAGGAACAAAAAAAAGGTCGATATGACTGGACCATAGAATCCCTGAAGGGGAGTAATGTATAAAAAAATAAAGAAAAATAGGGTGATGACAGGTTGTAAAGTATTTTAAGTACTAAGCTGAGGAGTTTATGTTTGATCCCAGAGGTAATAATGAGCCACTAATGCCTCGTTACACTTGTGCTTTGGAGGTGTTCCTTTGGCTTCTGGAGATGATAGACTGAAGAAGGGAAAAGCTAGATTCAGGGAGGTGGCTACTGGTAATAGTCCTGGAGAGAGGTGGTGAAAGTCTGCCTTAGGGTCGTTAGAATGAAAGGGAGATATGAATACAAGAGCTCTCTCAGGGAATTAGTATCAATAAAATTTGACAAACAGTTGGATTAAGGGGAGTTGAGTAAGAGTGAAACATGAAAGATGGCTCCAGTTGCAGAGTGTGTAAGATTGGTAGTACCCTCAACAGAAGCAGGTGAACCAGTAGGAAGAGTAGATTCAGGGGTTAAATGACTGAGTTCTCTTCTGGACTTTGAGGTGCCTGTGGGATCTTCCCATTAGAATTGTCCAGCTGGCAGTTGGAGATGTGAGAATGGAGCCCCTGAGAGATGAGTCGTTTTAGGAGTCATCTGCATAGAGCTCAGAGTTGAACCCATAGGAGTTGATGAGACCATGAAAAGAGAATTGTAGCAAGGAGAGAAGAGAACTGAGGACAAATCTTTCATTTCTATTTTCCCTCTCAGTAGGCATCTGTGGGTGTGGAAGTCCTTGTGTGGGGTGGGGCGGGGCTGGGTACTATCTTCTCCCATCATGCTGTTGTTCTCAACTACATTTTTGGATTTCAGATTATGCTCTGTTTCCTTCAGCATTTCGCTAACTAGTGAACTGGTATGGTTCTTTTGGGAATTCGTTCACACACCCTGTTTTATGTAAGGCTTTCTAGAATGAGTTTTTTTGAAAAACAAAACAGGTGTATGCTGTTTGTTATTTCAAGGAAATTGCACCAGTGCTGTCTTTAATAAAAAGAAAAATGATCCTCAGGCTTTTGCAGATGTTTCTGGATGGGTCTGGCCTTTTCATCTACCCTTCCCTTCTGGTCCCCATGTCCTCTTCACCCACCCACCACCCCCACCCCCTTATTCAGGAGACTAAGTTCATTACTGCTTGTCACATTGATGTTGCCAGATGATGGATTAATTCAACCTCTGTGACCTTTACCCACAGGCGGATTTAAACTGCAACATTCAAGATGATGCAGGGGCTTTCTATGGGGTAACCAGTCAGTATGAGAGCTCAGAGAACATGACCATCACCTGTTCTACCAAAGTCTGTTCATTCGGGAAGCAAGTAGTGGAGAAGGTAGAGGTAAGATGGGTCATTTCATTCAGGCGCAAAGCCTCTTTTCCCCTTTATGGTTGTGGATAAAGGGATGCAGTGTGTAAAGCAGAGGGTTGGGTTTTTGTTTGTTTTTTGTTTTTTTTCTTGGTGTTTTGGTGTCTTTCCTCTTCCTCCCCTACTGGTATTCATTCATTGTTTTTATGAAAGCACTTTATAAAGCAGCTAGGAGAATCAGATGTGTTCAGTTTCACCTAGCAGTCTCTGTGACTAAGGTGCCCTGACCTGAAGCCCCTGTACCCCACAAAAGCAGAAACTGACCCCAAGCACATTGTTGGCTTAGCCAAGACTGCAGGTGGGAGGGGGCAGCTCGGGCTGCCCCCTCACATTTAACTACCTGTGGCTTCAGGAAAGCCATCACAAGCAAGATGACACTTCATCTGTCGAAGAGCCATTTCCTGAAGCATTCCATTTGACTCTTCCTTCTGCAATTACCTCTGATTTTCCAAAATGACTTACAACGGAGAATAAAGTAGATTTCATTCTTTCATTGGGATCAGAGACCTGTCAGTGTCTGCCTGTTGTTTTGAGGTTCACATCTGCGGTCAGCAAACCATTGTATTTTTTTCTCATTCAATGATTTATTGATAGTTTTTGTTTCTCACACTGCAGTCATTTTCTATAATTCTACCTCCGCCTCCCCTGCACAAAACTGTCCTTTATAATGAAGAAAAGCATTTCATGAAAACCAGCAGATACACCAATAGGATACAGAACATTTAGTATCTGTAGTCGTGTACCTCTTTATGGAGAGCATGTAAGTGGGTTTCCTCATCCAGGACCAAGACCC